TGAGATTTAGACCAGGTCATTAATTCCCAGAATGTTTTTACCAGTCACTGCAGGGGTTATCACCCAGACCAGCTATCACATTCTTGATGGCTTTAACTGCAAACTTGAGGGAAAAATGGAATTCACAGCACAAAAAGAGTTTGCAGTCTCTAGAGAATTGAAACCGCAAGTTCTTGCATTCAGAAATATTTTAGATGCTGCTGTTGTAGAAGGAGGATGTCCGTATCTATTCACTGTACATGCTGCATGGCTCTTGTTGACTAATCAAAGCCACGATACCTTAAAAGGAATGTTCTGAAAAGGTATATAAGGAGACAATAAAGAAGGCACCAGAAATACAGAGGCAATAAGAATTTTTGTTTTCTTTATGAATCTCAGATGCTAATTAATACAGAGAACATTAACATCTAGTGGGAAAAGCAAAAAAAAAATTGTTTTATATTTGTGTAAAATGTGTTAATGATCATAAGTAGTTTCCAGTTACAGAAGAGCATTTTCATGAAACATTTACTTTCAGCTTAAGGCCAAATTTTCTTAGGCTAAAATACAGCTTTTCCAACAGTGATTACAAAATCTAAAAATTCTCAGGCAAGGGCCCTGGTAGGAAGAAGAAGGGAGAGCAAAGATCACATTATAAAATGTATGCACACCAGGACAAAAATTAACAAGAGATCTGGGCTTGTTCAGCCTGGAGGAGACGCGGCTCTGGGGGCACGTAATGGCAACCCTCCAACACCTACACAGAGGTTCTCAAGAAGTCCGGCTCGTCACAACGGGCTCTGTAGCAATTGGTATTGTCGGAAAAAGCAGAGCAGCTTTCACACACACACAAGCCCTTCTTCAGTCTGATATAAAAGCAGCATACTTCAAAGCCTGAAGAAGAATCACTGAGAGTTTAATTACTAAAACTGCATTTAGACACTTTCATCAGGGAAACCAACTACCTTCTGTCAGAGATGGTCAAAATCATACATGAACAACTAGATAAATAAATGCTACAAAAATTATTCTCACACCATGGACTCTTTCTACCTACAAACCTTCTTTTCACTAATTTTTTTCATGTTTGCAGATTTTCCTTTAATATACATTTACACTCCAATATGCTGTCTTACTTAGAAAGGTAAGTTAAACAAAATGTTCCACTTACTAGAACCATAAAAAGTTCAGTCCTCTCAGATGTCTCTCTCGTTTGTTTTAGTTGTACTAGAAGTAGTGTTATTCTCCACATGGATTAAAAAGGAACAGCAGCATAAGACGTACACTGCTGCTGTGTGATCAAGGAAACGTAATGACGTTAAAGTGACGAGATACTCCTGGATACAGCTCCATATCTTAGAGAGTATTATTATGTAGCTTTTATGAGACCATTTTGCCCTTGTGCTCCTATCTCTTTTCCCTCCCATTCTTTCTCCTTCAGTGTTTAAGTCTTCTCCCTAACCTGTCCTCTTTCACCCATGCTGCCTGTGTCCTCCCTTTCTTCCTCGCATTATCAGCCTCTCTCATTGTCCCTCTCCCCAGGTCTCTTGCACTTCTTCAATTTACTCAGTCTTATTCCTCCTTACCTTTCCCTGGGTGCTACTTGGAGGACCACTCAAGGAGCCAAGAAGAAAGTGATCCCCACCTTCACATCCACAAAAGCCCATGGATCAAAGAAAAAAGTTACACTGAGAATCTACTGTTTTGGTAGTCCCAAAGCCTGGGTCTAGTGAGTGCGAATGGCATCTTCAGAACTCTACCAAACTCCCAAGAAGTGTCCACCCGCTACCTAAATCACTGATTGACTGCAGATTTTTACCGTGTCAAACACTGGAGAAATCATTATCTGCTAACATTTTTAGGCACACAGATAAAGGAAAGTTTTGTTTATTATTTAACAATCTATAATGGCACAGTTTTTAATTTAGGCAGAGGTGCTAGAAAATGTAAGATATATTCTTAGGAGCTGTTTACACTACCCGCTCCCAAAGGAATGAGCTGGCCAAACCCTTTCTGCTACATGTATTAAATTTTTCTCAAAGCACTGTACTGAGTTTTCTGCATGACAAGTCTGACATGTTGAAAATGAGATTCCACAGATGACTATCAAAAATTTAGCTTACTATGCAAAGTAGCATTAAAAGCCAAAAGCCTTCATGTGCACATAAACAATGGGTCAGATAAGTACAAAAGTGAACATTTCCTTTGACTATTAAACTTTCCAGGAAATAAAATACATACACTAGTAAAAATGGAACCATATTCTGTATTCATTATGTGGTGTATACAACTACTGTCATGCTCAGTGCAGTGCAATTATATTTTATATTTTAGAGCTCCAGTGTAAAAGTTCTCACTACCCTCTCAATAGCCAATCAACTCGATGTTCTGAGATACTTCTATTTTGCTATGATTTTTACCTTGTGTAAACATAAACAAGCCCAGATTAACTGACAAGCTAGTGAGAATCTGTTCTACTTTTGTTCAAAGCAATATCCTATGATTTCAAGAAGGGAGTACTGCAGTAAGGGGGGAAAAAAAATTTTAAAAATATAAATCTGCTTTATTCTCTTAAAGATAAAAGCAAAATTATTTATAAAAATGTCATCTATGACAGGTATAGTTTATATCAGAACTTATGAAATCACATTTACATCACCAGAAACTATCTTTAGAATGTAACTTGTGACCCAATCAGCAGGCTTTATATTAAAGCAGTAGTAGCATTGTGCTTAAAACAAGTGGGTGGGGGAACAAATGCCCACAATCCTATCCAGGTGGTTTTTACCTACGTCATTTTCTTCCCTAATAATCCCTAATTTGCTGCATGAACCAGTGTTTTGGGAAACATATAAGAACAAGCAGAGAAGAGTTAATAATAAAGTCTTTCTACACTTAATTTGAGTTTTCTAATGCTAGCAACTCCTCCCTGTAAAATTTTTTTCAAACAGAAGCATTTTTTTAAACTGCAACTATCAAAATTTGTACCTGTGAAGGCAGTTTATTCATGTAGTTGCGATCATAATATTGATGTAATTGTGGTTTTTATTAGTATGCACCTTAGTCTTCTTGCATGTGCAGAAATGGGTTTCTGAGCCAAAATGAATCAGAGTACCAGAGTAAGCATCTCATGTAAGTGTCTGTTGCACCTATATTTGATATAATTATGCAGCTATGGACTATATGTGTATTTACACAGCCACAAATATTTAGGAAACCATGGTTCAGACACCAAGGAACACAATGTTAAAATGCCTCCCTTCAACACACGACACTGAACTTGCAGAGTAAATAACTTTTATAGGAAGAAAGAAGACTGTGTCTTTTGGATGAATTGTCTTAGAAATAATTGGATTTATATTCTGTCTTCCTTCATTTACATCTTTCAATTAACAACTTATTGCTTGTAGATTTTAAAGCATATGTTGCAAGCAGTCTTCATTGCCTAGCATGTGATTTTACAAATCTGGTAAACTTAGTTGATCTAAAAAATTATTGCATCACATGACAATTCCTGAAAACAGTATTTTGCAGAGGCGTGGCTGTTCCTGCAGATCAGGTCTTCAGAGGATACCACAGCTAGGTAACTAAAACACTTGGAAACTGGAATCTTGGTTATAAATATTTTGTTGTTAAGGTCAAACAAACCTTAACCAAGCATAAACAAATTCTAGTTTGTCAGGGTTTTGTAATTTGACAACATTCACCACATTTTGCACAGACTGCAAAAGGCAAATGGACGTGACCGACCTACTTCATATCACCAGATTACTAGAAATTCAGCATGATCAAACAATTCATCCTCAGCTGCCTTCTCAGAAATGTCTGAGCAGTCATGTTCATGACACCTAAAAAAAACATGCTAAGACTTTTGAAATGACAGTTATAATTAGCATTACTGAAAGCAGCTAAGTAAAGATATTAACATTTGGATTATAAAATTTTCCTGCATGGAAGATTTCCCCTGAAATGTTTAAAGCGTAATAAACCTATATGTAACTGAACTCAGCGTCTTGCGACAGGAGGTGTCAGGCAGACTTGCGGTGCTACTAATTCTGCCTCGAGTATCTTCTGTCGAGTACTCGTCACTGTTGAATAAGCTTCTAAATAAATAGGAATGCCTTAAGTTAATGCAATCAGACTCACTAGTGAAATAACTATCATTTTACTAGATATATTTCTAATGAATATGTAGCATTCATTAAAATAACAGATTTAAAAGAAAAAAAACAACAAAAAAAAGCAAAACCAGACGGGTGAAGTGTAAACTCAGGAATGGATTTTTCTGAGCAGAGGAAGGAAAGGGAAGGGAAAAGAAGTATCAAGGCAGACGAATGACAGGCAAACGGTTTATAAATCCCCACTACCATTCAACTGAGGATAAAGACAGCTACTTTTTGGTAGTGGTAGAGATTTCTTTGGCACATTGAACTCCCAACTTAGCAAGCGAGTGTGGTCACTGTTGCTCCGTATTTCTGGAGCACCACATTATCCAGGCACAAGACAGCATGGGCAGGCTGGAACTGATCTGGACCTGCTGAGCATGCCAGCAGGCGAGATCAGGCCCTGCGATGACTCTCATGTCACGAGGGCCAATTTGACTCTTGGTATAATCTCAAGAACATACAGGAAGAAAGACTGGAAAAGGTCTTCCTCACACCCTGCCACCAACCCCAGAAACCACACCAGGACTGGTGCTTTGCCTTATTTAGGCATCCAGCTCCTTTTATCCCTTCTTATTCCCTTCATATGCAACAAATCCGTCACAAGAAAACTATCCAAATTTTAACAGCAATGTGAAAAACATCAATTCACAGAATTAATCAGAGATTTCATTTTACTTTTAAATAAACTTCATATTATGCACTCTGCCTTCGGTGATTCTTGGTTATCAATTTTCTTTTTTTAATCAGTTATCTACGCATACCCATTTTAATTTATTTAATGTTCCATAGTTTTTAATACTGCTTTAATGTTTAAGTGAGGGCTACATGTATTTTTATACTTCTTATAATACTTACGGGTCTTTCGAGCAGAATCTTCTACAAAGAGAGAAGAAATGTCTTCATCCACCCCTGCTTCATTCTTTGCAATACAAGTATATGCTCCTGTATCTTCATAGCGCACATTGCTAATGTGAACCTCACTGCCATTTGCTGAAAGGAGAGGAAAAATTCAACATGCAGACATGCTACAGTGCTTTCAGATTATACATTCACAAGGCTTTCTCTGCTCATACTAATTAAACCATTTTCATTCCTGAGTTCATAACTTGGAGGCATGCCAAACTAATCCAAAGGTATTCAATTGGCTAGTGAATTACATGCACTATTATTCATCTCACAGATATTCAGAATACCTCAGCTGATTTTGCATTTCAGAGCTAAATGTCAGTCTGAGGTTTTATATATGTTTAAATGACTATGGTTGTCTTGAAAATCATGTAAATGTTATGGTTTTATTATGTTGCATTTGGTCAGTTGACACTGTATCTGGCTTTACACAAAATAACCCAGGTTTCCATAGAACATAACAGGCTAAAATTTCAACATAAATAATAACTTTAATACAATTATTTATTTCCAGTAACCAGAGGCACCTGGTTTTGGTTTTGTCTGAATAGAGTGTAATGACAGAAAAAACAGGTGCATTGGAATTTTACACCTACATCAGTGTAGGAACCTACAGAAACCACTTCAGGAGTTGTATGCCAGCTTGACTAGGAATGTCAACAAACAGTCCAGGTTTCACAGGCAAAGATCTTTTAAATAGCGTGATGTGAGTAATGATGTGACTAATGATTCATTGCATTTTAAGTATAGTACACCTTTTCAGCTGTAGGATCTGTTTTATAGATCCTTTGTAGGTATTCTAAAAAATGGACTAGAAGGGGCACAGGGTTATGGTGTAATAGTCCTGAAGCAAAATACACATTGAACTCCCAATTTAGCAAGTTGTACAGATAGTTTAACTAGAGAAAAACTCAGGGAAAATGCAACGAGATTTTAAAAAATTTATTTTAGGTAAGTACATTCAAGAAAATGGAATTAAATTTATTTTGCTTAGAGAAGAACTATTCTTATTTATTTATTATAAATATATGATACAGAGGTGAGAGGAAAAAAATTCCACTCAAATCCCTACAGGAGAAATTAACAGAATGCTGCTATGGAAGAGGAGTCCACCACTTTCTACTCATAGTGGAAAGTGTTTCTACAAGGCACTTTTGCACATACATCCAGGGGAGAGGGCCATGAAAGGACAGGGGACTATGACACCTATAGGGAAGGTAAGACTCTCTCCAGAGAAGCATTCGCTGTTCTGCCTGTCCCACAGTTTCTTACACTGCAGCCTGACTGCTGTCCTGTCCTAATACACATCTGCTTCTGCAGACCAATGAGAGAAGGTTTTGAAGGGAACACTGGCAGCACAAGTTGGTTTTGTTTTTTTTTTCCTATGGCTGATCAAAACTCACCAGAAGGACTGCAGGAGTTAGAAGGTTTTGTGCTGGGCAGGTTCATTGAATTTGCTAAGCCCTGAAGATTCATAGAAGGTTCAGAGACTGGGCTTTATTGTCAATTAAAAGTAAGATTTCCTTTTAGCTGCTTTTTTTTCTGTGCTGTGTCTTTGCACTCCCCTGTTCATCTGCTGAGACCCCTCAGAAAACAGCACATCCATTTCAGGTATTTCTCCTCCTGTCCCATCCACTGTCAGGTCCCTAAGTCTCACCAAGATTCTTATCAGTCAAAAAACCTCTGTTTTCAACTGAGCTGCAGTGAAGGTAAAGTTTGGCCCATGTTCTGATCTAAATTTAAATGTGGATTCATGAAAAATAACTACATTAATATAAATGCATTACAATAAATTTTTACAGAAAAAAGCATCGCTTCCCGATTTAAATATTAGTGTTGAATACTCATTGGATGTCATCAATTTAGTTGTAGTGACAAATTCTAATACTGGGTTGGGACTGGGTCTTGGGCTGCTTGCTCTACACAGAAACTGCACATTTTTGAGTAGAGAAGATCTTATTGGAATTTACTGGTAAACTTACCAGTAAGTACAGTCATTGTATTCTAACAAAGAGAAAGATATGTGTCTTGGGGAGTAACTGGAAGACATCTTCTGAAATGTTTCAGCTTAGACTTCAACCCTTGGTTAAAACTATGTAAAAGGACAGCTAGTACAGAAGCGATGTACTAACAAAGCATTTGCAGCCCATAGAAAATAAATATGCCCCTTTACCTTGAAGAGTTAGCTGTTTGGATAACTTCGGGGTGATATCAATTCCATTCTTCAGCCAACCAAGCTGTGGGTTGGGAATACCTTCCGCATGGCACCGGAGGCTAGCTGTCACGCCTGGCTCCCTTGCCTGGCTCTCTGGATAGACTCGGATGACTGGTGGAACTGAAGGCAGGAAAAAATTATAATTTAGTGGAGAAGAATACTATCTTAATTTTAAGAAAAATAATTATAAGCAATTCTAAAGGCTCCGGCAGCTATATATAACAACACATAGATGTGGTATTAGTCACATATTCAGTGACATTCAATGCTGAACTCTGTCACAGTAAAGTTATGAAGCAGAACGAACGTTCTAGGAGAAAAACCTCTTTTAGCTGCCTGTGATATCAATGAAAAAAGGCTCAAAAAGCCTGAATTATAAAATTCAGTCGTTTGGGGTTGAGTAATAAGCTTTTTATTTTTCCTTAAATTTCTTTATAAAGTATGAATAATGTACAACCAGTAAGTTATGATGTAATGTATGGAGATTGTAATTGTCCTATTTCACAAACCTTTTCTTTATCACTTCATCTCCACCTTTCCTCTCTCTCCAAAACACCTATCAGCAATCCATTTTACCTGTATGTATAAAACATATAATCACAGAACCACATAATGGTTGAAGTTGAAAGGGACCTCCAGAGGTCATCTTGTCCAGTGCCCTGCTCAAGCAGGGCCACCTAGAGCCAGTTGTCCAGGACCATATCTAGGTTTTAAAATATCTCCAAAGAGGGAGACTTTACCAGCTCTCTGGGCAACCTGTGCCAGTCCTCCGTCACCCTCACAGTATGTTTCCTAATGTTCAGACAGGACCTCCTGTATCCAGGATACCATTTGCCTTCTTTACCACATGGCCAAATTGTTGGCTCATGTTCAACCTGGTGTCCGTCAGGACCCCCAGATCCTTTTCTGCCAAGCTGCTTTCCACTTGGGTGGCCCGCAGCGTATATTGGTGCATGGGGTTGTTCTTCCCCAGGTGCAGGACTTTGCCCTTCTCCTTGTTGCACTTCACGAGGTTCTGGCTGGTCCACTTCTCCAGCCTGTCAAGCTCCCTCTGAATGGCAGCATGACCCCCTGGGGGACCAGCCATTCCTCCCCGTCTGGTGTCATCATGTTAAACAGAACATTTACAAGACTAGTCTTCTGAGTTTCATTATTAGCAAAATATAAGAATTACTGACATTGCTTTTCCAAGTTTTGGAAACTTGCTGCAGTATATGTTTACGAACTAAAAAGCTGCTACATACCAGAGAGAGGATTTATGACATCACAGCGGACATATTCTCCTATTGGTAATCAATGGTTAAGCCAGATTTTGTTTAGATCAATAATTGTTGATCTTATCTTTAATTATGTGCAGAATGAACTTGCTTGAGGTTGTTTCTAACAATAAAAAAATTAACTGTAATGAAGGTTAAAACCAGCATATTTCCTATTCTCCAAAGGTTTGTTTAATGCAACTTTAAAAATGTGGAATACTTAGCTGGTGTCACAAAACACAGCTGGGTAGAGGATGAAGTATCAGCTGATAATGAAAGAAGATAACAAGATCAAAAATTAACTGTGTCTATTTTGGCACGAGATTAAATATTTTCAAATGCTATCCAACTGTTTACAAGAAATGTCCCAGCATGATGTCCTATTAGAGCACAAAAATACCTCAGATTTCTACATTGCAAGGAATACACAAATGCACTACATCTCAGATAAGATGCGAAAATCAGTAGGTTTCAGGGATATTTTAAACCCAGTTAGAGATTAAGGTCTTTTCAAATAACATACACAAAAAATTACACATAACCCCAATATGCAAACTGCAAAGATGTAATAAAAGAACATGGAAGAGGATTAAAAATGTGAAAATTATGGCTGCTAATTGCTTAGACTACCAGCTGAGAGCAAGAGCATATAAAAACCAGGAATTTAAGGTTTCTATTGAGTTTCTAGAAGGGACTTTGCTTTTATGGATGCAGATCTCTACTTTTCATCTCAAGCCTGACATTCCCATTCCTGTTCCCACTCCACTTCTTCCCTGTTCTGTCTCCTCTTCCATAGGTTCTGTATGCTCCGTACTGAGACCTTGCCTTCCCCACTGTGTTCCTCATAGTGAGCCCCACTTGATGGCATGCTCAGATGGCCCAAAGCTCTTTCTGAGGCCTCAGCTCCCAGTCTTACTCTGCCTCATTTCCTAGGGACCAATTTTCATGTCTGCCCTGTTTAGCATTTCCTGACAGAAGGTCCTTTAGTGGCCTACCCCATATTGCAGATTTCCCACTGCATCAAAGCCAGATAGTTTATTTCTCCACCTTGCCTCAAGAAGAGCAAAGGGCTACATTTCATCAGAGAGAGGATTGCCATCATTTAACGCTCTCAATCATCTCTGCAACACAAAAAACTTTTAGGACCAATAGTAAAGCATTGCAACTCATTATATTCTGACCACTTAGGATATTTCTTGTCTCTTTTGTGTTAGTGAAATATTCTCATTGCATATAAAATTTTATGGGAATTTAACTACCACACCTTGACAGACTTCTACTGAGTGCATGTGAAGAGAAATTTTCTAAGAGTCCAATTTTGGAGAATTTTTACTGAATAGAAAAAGGAATGTATTAGTTTAGCTTTGGCAAAAGGCAGGTGATGTATTTGGGGCAACTTTCTAGCAAAGTTTTAGAAAATATTAAAACTGAAATCAAATACTTCCTAAATAAACAAACAAAATCAAACCCTGCATCACATAATGCTATTGTTGCTAAATTAACTACTCGAGGGTCAGGGGATGTGAAGGTGAGGACCTGCTCAAGTGAAAGCAAGTCTGAGTTTTCTTCTACTATCCCATATTTCTGTAGTAGCTCCTGTTCCCTTTAGCAGGTTTTTCCCAGACAGAGGTACTTGCATGACACTAGAGTTTATTTCTTGCCCTATCTTTCACATATTTGCTGCCATTTCCCACTTTCCTCAGCAAATCCTCAGCAAATCCGTGTATGATAGGTTATCTATACAACTAGATACAACAACCTAAGTTTTTCAATTCTTGTTTTGTATTATATTTTTAAATTTCGTATTACCTTGGAGCCTACTTGTAATATGTCCGCAAGAACTGTGCAATTGAGGCATGCAGGCAATTCAAATATTAGTGCAGTATGGGCTCGGTCTAAAAAATTAATTTGATATGACAAGTTTGTATCAAACACTTTCTGTTCATTTCAATCACTTTTGTTGTGTAACTGACCACAGATATTAGCAGAAAGCAAATTTTAAGTACTCAAATAATATGACTGTTCCTACTGACTTTCAAAAAGGTATGTTCTGATATATTAATCTAAAGAAGTCTAATTTAGAAGGGAGAGTTCATTACGTCAGTTAAAAGGGAAAGGGACAGAAAGCATTGCATGACTGTATTCAGCAGAAGCATATATATGTAATTGAATGAATCCTATATTTCTTATCATTCTGTTCAAAAAGCCATGTGAGACTGTTTGTTCCAAATATGGTGAATATGTAACTATTTGATACATCTTACAATTGCGATAAAATCCACTGAAGATTATTTCAGTCAGGTTTAATGGGGAAAAAAAGAAAAAGGAAAAAAAAAAAAAAAAGAGAAAATAGTCTCATCAAGCTGCCTGGAATCCAGGGAGAATGTATGTGTTTAAGAAAGAAATATATATAGTAAACTAGGTTCTTCTACTGCTGTATATAACTCTTCTTTCTGACTAAACTGAAATATTTTGTTTGGAAAAACAAAGGTGGTAAACAATTCTTTAGACACTATAAATCACTGATGTATATCTGGCTGAAGGTCTGGACTCTCTTTTCTTTACCTTAAGGTACCAAAACATTTGGGTTTTTCAGTAGGCCTTTTGTCTTGGAACTAAGGTGGGGAAAATTCTTGTCACTTCTCTGGAAAAGGACTTGCCTTGTAAATCAACGTGAAAGCTCAGCGAGAAGGATAACATTGTTAATACATAAACAGAAAGAAAAATGTCACATTGGTGCTATGTGTATATTAAGTTGATTTGTAACATGTACCATAAACTCATATAATTTTTAGAGCAGGTTTGAATTTGAAGGTAGTCTTCCCTTTTTTTTATAATATGGCTAATGACATTTTGTTTATTGTCTAGAAACACCTTTCCAAAAGTGAAACTCCTCAAATTTACACTTTGAAAAATCTAGGCTATGACATGTATATGCTTGTAAAATAGAAAAACTGAGTTATAAAAACCATTAAATTTAAACTAATCTCAGTATCATGTCTATAACTGCCACAGTGATCAATAATACTAACACCTCTGGTTGCAGACAGCATAGATCTGTAGCTTGATAAACACCAAGTTAATGAGAAAATGTAACATTTCTAGGTATTTCAGTTTTTTCAATAGCAATTTTCAAGGCTTTTTTTTGTACCAGATGTAGATATCACATTCACGCAATCCTAGAACAGTAATAACAAGAAAGAGTAATCATTGTTAATAATGCTTCTTTAACACTTCAGTTAACAGACAATAATGTAAACATAAAGAAAAAGATCTTGGTTTATTATTCAAATTCTTTTTTCACTTAACTGATATATACACCTGTGTTGTCTTAAATAGCTGAATATTAAAACATAAAGGGGTTAACTGAATATATTAATCTAAGGGCATTTTAGAGACAGGTGGCCCACTACCAAATACAACAACCCATCATACAACAACCCATATTACAAGAATATTTAAGTTTGTTACAATTTTTTTGCTTTGGCCACTGTTTACTACTTTGTTTGGAAGAACTCTGTCAGCATTCCCCTATAAATTTCTGAATGGCTGCTGTGGAAAAAAACCCACAGGCTAATAAACAAGCAAAAGGGAAATGATACAAATCTTTCTGAAATACAAATTAAGTAAAGACAGATTTTAATGAACAAATTATGGAGCTGATATTATAAATAGTTTATGGGATACTGAATTACATAGCTCCTCTTCATCTTCAGTGCTACTAAGACCACCACATATACCTATCATTATCTGAGAATAGATTTTCTAATTCATGGGGTTTATGACATGTGATGTATACAACTGTAAACGAAAAATACCTGATGGATTGAATTTCAATATGACAGATGGGGGAGGTGGGGGGGGGCGGCGGGAATCAAAATGAGAGCTTCAGACATATATTCTCAGAATCATACAGTCACAAAATTATATAGTTTGAAATTTTTAGTATTATGTAAATGCTAATAATTAGCATTTAATTAAATGGTTACTCCTGCACCATTACAACTTTGTATTTTGGGTGATTTTTACAGTTTATATGAAAAAGGGTTAAATACCACCATATTATTATATTGCTTACAATATTTAATTTACCATAGTATTTGTGTAAGACTAGACTGAATTTTCTCACCATAAACCACGTCTTTTACAGTGCAGATTATCTGCATTGTTAAGACTCCAAAGGAAGGTCATCATCCCTTAGTAATGTACTGGGCAATTAAAAACTAAAAATTTTCCTGAAGATTTTAATCTTAAAAGAGAAATAAATCAAAACTATATATAGATATAATATTTGCAAACTAGTAGATGTAAAATATATAAATATTTTTGCTAAAAATACATAGATTTATACAAATGGAAATCAAGAAAGGACTTAAAATCTAATTACATTGTTTTCATTGAACCTTCACGGTAGATCTTTGTGATCAATGGAACCTCATTATCTCATTAACCTTCTGTCTGACTCTCCTGTTAATACAAGTATCATTATATTAATTAGTCATTATCACAGCTACAAGAACTGACCATCATGCCTGTGCTTAGGAAGGTTACTGTTTAGAAGTACAGATCTAAACTGTGGAAGTGCTGTTAATTTGACCTTTAATCTCAATGGTTTTAACTCCCTTTATCCACAATACACACAGCAAACGATCCTATTCCTCAAAGGGACTCCTTTCTCCTCTTCCTCACACCCCAAAAAATCAACATGCAAAATGTTGGAAGGTATCACTCCAGTGCCAACTTGTGGAACAGCAGCCATCTGAGCAGAGCAAGTATGGACTAGTAATTTTGTCTGGACAACTTTAAATTTATATGATTGATACAGAGCAGCAACAGCAGTGATTGCCTTTGGCATCATAAAGGTTTACAGTAGTTTCCAGATCAAATATACAAATTCCTGTCAGACACTTCATCACCAGAAAAATCTACAGTTGTCCTCCTTCACCTATCCCAAATTATGTTGATTTTCTAGTCCTGAGAAAAACCTCTTCAGATTAAGTGGTGTTTTGCCTCACTGTGTGCTGAACTCAGCCAAACATGAAGAATCCTAGTATTTTAACTGTTGCAAACTTCTTCAGGTTTATTAGCACACTGGAATAGGTTGGGAACATGTTGACAAGAATACAATTTTTTTAGTAAATTAGGATAAACCAGAACACATGAAACAGAGGAGGAGAGAGTTGGTCAAGAACCTTCTACTGTGCCCAACTGGCCAATAATTCTGCTGTCTGCAGGAATTAAAATACTAGTGAACTACGCTTCAGTCTTCCCACTAGTTTAGCTAGTATTTGCCACCTGACTTTTTAAATGACAGAAAAGAATTCTTGAAGAAAAATTTGAAGGAGGAAAATATGTTGATGCCATGTATTAACTCAGGCAGGACACTCCATTTGTAAAGTGTGTGAGAGTGGGGGAGAAACTGGAAAAAAAATAATTGAGATGGATAGATAGATATTCTAAGCCAGTTTCCTGGAGAAGCACAATGGCAGAGACAACCTGTTAAGAAAACTGCAAACAAGCACTAAATATCAAAGTCATTTGAAGTCTGAAGGATATTAACAACAGAAATTTGGGGAAAAAAGGCTATTAAAAGAAAAATGAATCTTACTAAAAGACAAGTAAAATAATCTTGGAAGCTGCATTTGGTGTGAATATCAATGAAAGATATGAATATCAGAAAACATTTCAGCATTTTTGGATAACAAATATCAAGAAAAGTCAATTATAATAGGAGTTTATTCAACTGACTAACAATGAAACAAAGAATGATGGCAATGGCAGTGGCCAAGAAACTAGGTCTAGAATATACTTCAGGAGAAAGTTAGAACCTGTTAATGCAAAGTAAATTTGCAGGAGAAGGTTGAGTTCAAACATGATTCTGGATTGGAGTAGGTATCAACAATACTGGCAGTTTAATGGGGAAAGGTAGACTTAAGAGTTAAAGACAAATATGAGCATTCGAATAACAGGAAAACACAAGGTCACTCAAACACCGCCCCCCCACCCCACTCCCCCATTAAACCTCATTGGGGACAAAGTACAGTGGGACCCTTGGACCCTTCGTCAGGAGGAGAACAACAATTTAGAAAAAAATAACACACAGCAAAAAGAACTAGGAGAGGGTACTATGGTTCAAGAGAAAGGAAAGGCCTACTTCCAGGGCACCAGTAAAAACTGCAGTTAAGTTTTGTCCAAGTACAGAGTTCAGAAAAGTAGTCCTTAGAACTTGAACAGATGGAGGAAAACTTAAAGATCAAGATTTCAAATCCAGATCAGTTAATCTGCTAAAAACATGGTTAGATTTCAAAATAGTAAATGTGAATTTAGAAGCCTATGTCAATTACAAAACTTTTAGGGTAGTGCATTTCGTTAATCTTATACAAAATGCAACATTCTTAACACAAATGACCTATACACTTATTTTCCTAATATGTTCTCCAGAATTACTGAATTAATACTAAAACCTACTTTATCTGTATTAATGTATGTCTATATAAAACCACTTCTTATTCTGCAGATAACATGCTAAACATCCTCACAGGTGAACAGTTCACAGTGAAGAGGAAGTCCTCTGGACTACATCTTTAGTGCTTTAAATAACTATTATCCATTTGGATGTAATAAACTAAAATGATTATGTTTTATTGTTTAGAAAGATTATTTATAGGAGAAAAATAAGGAAAAATAATTGTATCACCCTTTCTGTTAAGAATGTAACACAATACAAAAAAAGTAAAACAGCAGTAACAGATCTGCTCAACAAAATCCAAATCTAAGTCTCTTATGACTTGGTAATTTAAACATTTTTTCTTACCGTTCACTTGAAGAATATGAGTTTGATAGAGCTTATCATAGCCATCAGCATAGCAGGTGTAATTTCCCATATGAGTTGTGGTAACCTTAGTAATGTACAAGGACCCATCATCCCCAAAATCCTACCGGGAAAGATTAAAAACAAGGTTATCATAATTATACCTGCATGTCTACAGTAATTATGCTCGTCATCTTGGCAACAAAGCTGTGATGTAAATATCTAACACAACAAATATTAAACCAGAATAGCTGACAGTAATCTGAAACCCAAATATTATATCTGTGAATGGCAAAGTTATTTGATCTTGCCACATATACTGTGTCTATAAAAGAAAACATGACTTTTATTTTAACAATTAGTTAAACTCTGTGTAAGTAATATGATTGTTTATTTAGCTGTGATAGTTATTTACAGAAGAAAAGCTATTTAGGATTGGATCTGATCAGATGGAAAAACTAAATCTCTGCACCATTTAACAAAGTAAATGACATCCTGTGGAATTTGGTCATCCTTTGAAATGAGCAGATACACAGAAAAAAACCTCCTCACTATTCTCGAAGTTTGAGTCACTGTTTTTATCTTTATCCTTTTATATATCTTTAATTGGCATATATGTTCCACTGGATTAGACTGCAAAATCTGACCCTTATTTTGATTCCCAGTTCAATTCTCAGTTCAACTTTAGTTAATAAAATAACATTTAAAATTTACAAGTTGTAAACTATGCCAATTATTGTAAAAATGCATGGAACAATTAACAGTCACTGTTTTATTTTTAGTTGTTATTTTTCATGTCTGCAAGGACCACCGTAGTCCGATCCAGGTTCTTCCAGTCTACATCTCATAGATTCTGAAGTACTTGTACAAATCTTTCTAGGAGCTGGTTTTTTACATTATATTCTACTCTTTCCTTTGTCAAGGACGCTTCTTAACAATTGATATCTTTTCAGTCTCACCTAGCAATCTTTTTATTGTTATATATGCAGTGTATTTACATAAAACAGTGATTAAATTATTTAAGCAAAGAATATAAAATAGAAATGTAAAACTAGGAAAAATGTCTTTCAGTCTCGTAGATAATTTCTGCTATAAAATATTTAATTCAGAAATTAAAGCATATAAACTAATATGAAAAACATGCAAAACACAGTCACTGTTTCATACTAGGAAAAAGTATGCTGGATCTTCCATGGCATGTAGGTCCGCCCCTGTTCCTGAAGGGAACCCATGCTCTATAATCATATGCCTAATGTTAATATAGTCTATCAAACTCAGCTACCTTTCTTGTGTATTAAAAAGCTGTTTCAAATCTTCTCAGTATTCTCATGTATATGATACAGCTTTTTTTTAAATTTTTATCCTAAAGTTATTCATGGTCAGCTTGTAGCCCTTTTATATTCCTTAACACAGTCTCTAAAATAGCCTTTAAAATCTTTAAATAACTTAAAATATCCTCTCCTTCTGATTAACCACAGGACACGGTACTATAAAATACACACGTACACACACACATTATGATTATATGCAACACAAATATTCACACACAGGCTCACAGTATCCAACAGGTGTGTGATTCATTAGAATAGGGACAAGCACCAAGCTGCAATATCTATGTCTCATCAGATTCAGTGATTCATTACAGAAGCACTACTTTTGTAAATGGATTTCAGGGATCTGGTATTCTCAAGGCAAGTGTTACTGGTAAAAACCATAGCAAAGATGACTTTCACTACATCAGCCTCTTCCAGTTGTGTTTCATGAGGTCCCATGCCCCACTCAGCAGCAGGCCCATATTTTCCCTAGTCCCTAGTTCCTTTTACTGCTGCTATAAGCCCGGAAGCCCTGTAGAAGACCTTCTTGCTGTCCTTCATGTCCATCACCAAATTCAATTTCAGGTGGGCTTTGGCTTTCCTAACCCTTCACATTCAAATAGCATCTCTATGTTCTTCCTGGGTTACCTGTCCTTGCTTCCACCTTTCTTCCTTTGTATTCGAGTTCTGTCAGGAGATCCCCGTTCATTAACACAGACCTCTGGCTGCCTTTGATTTCCTGTTCATTGTGACAGACCATTCTTAAGGAGGAGGTGATCCTTGAAAATCAACTAGCTCTCTTAGACCCCTCTTCTTTCCAGCTTGGTCTCTTATGGGATTCTTCCAAGCATGCCCTTGAACAGGCCAAAGTCTACTCTCCTGAAATCTAGGGTTGTGCTCCTGCTTTTTGCCTTGCCTCCTTGACTCTACCATCTCATAGTCACTGCACCCAAGGTTGCCCTGACCTTTATATTCCCAACCAGTTACTCTTTCTTTGCAAGCATGAGGTCCAGTAGATCATTTCCTTTTGCTGCCTCCTCTATTGTGCGTGTTAACATCATGACTATCTAAGATACCAGGCTCAAACGAGAGGTAAACGTTAAGGCATTATAAAAATGTTCTTCTGGTCCAACTAAATTGTATACAACCCTAGGGAATAATCAAAAATCTGCTGATGTTAGAGCAAAAGGAATTACTACTGTTCAAGGTGAACAGCCACTGCATTGCTTAGCTTTTCATCAGCTACTTATGTGATTATATAACAAAAAGACCTGATAAAATTGAACCCTGTAACAGGACAGTGTTGACTAAATCATGTCTGAATTGCCGATTTTCTGAACTCTTCAAGTTAATCATACTTTAGAGTCTGACCAAACATACCATTTATGAAAAAAACAAGAGCATCTATACAAGTGACATAAGAACTTTATAAACACATGTACTCAGACTAGTGAAATCTTCTGTGATACAACCACATTGCTGTACTTTCTCTTTTCATAGTTAGACTCGGGCATCTTTCTTTTCTCCTTTTCCATCATTAAGCTTAAAATTTTACAGGAGCTGGATACAAGGAAACATCTGAATTACTGACATATCTCCAAACAACAGCATAAAGCTCAAAGTAAATTCTTCTGTTCTACGTGTCAATGATAGAATAGATTATGAGCTCTGGAAATCTCTGAAACTCTCTCCTTGGTTCTCCTTTGTAATCAACCCTGTTTGTAACTGACTGTGACAAAGGGGAAAAAAAAAAAAAAAGAAAAAAATTGTCGTAGTTCAATGAAGGTGGTTGTGCAAAAAACTGTCCCCTCAAACCTAGCACAGTTTTCCCTGGGTTCAGCTTATCCTTTTTGGATATCCTTAATGTATGCTTTCTTTGTTATCAATGAAAGAGAAAAAAAAAAGTAATTTAAAAAAGTGTTTAAATATGCATCATACTATTGAACCAAAACATTTTTAGAAGCACATCTTTCCTTATACCATAAAACATCTCTACTAGTGTTGCATTCCTGTCCTGGTTTCAGCTTGGACAAGAGCAAATTTTCTTCCTAGTAGCTGGCACAGTGCTGTGTTTTGGATTTAGTAGTAGAAAAAGGTTGGTAACTCACTGATGGTCTAGTTGTTGCTAAGCAGTGCTTACACAAGTCAAGGACTTTTTCAGCTTCCCCTGCTCTGCCCGGTGCACAAGAAGCTGGGAGGGAGCACAGCAGGACAGCTGACCCCGACTGGCCCAAGGGCTATGCCAGACCATAGGACATTATGCTCACTATATAAATGAGGGGAGTTGGCCGGGGGCAGCAATCACAGCTCAGGGACTGGCTGGGCATCAGTCAGTGGGTGGTGAGCAGTTGCAACCCTTGTTTTTCCTGGGTTTTGTTTCCCTCTCTCTCTCATTGTTTTCCTTTTCATTACAATTTATTCTTATATTTTATTTTCTTTCAATGATTAAACTGTTCTTATCTTGACCCATGAGTTTTCTTACTTTTTCTCTTCAGATTCTCTCCCCCACCCCACCGGGGAGGCGGGGGAGGGTGAGCAAGCAGCTGTGTCGTGCTTGGCTGTCAACTGGGGTTAAAACATCACAACTCCATATTGCATTTGTACCAAGTTCACCAGTTTAAATAGGGATAATGGCCAGATATCACTGAAGCAGAATTCTTGCAGCAAAGAGACTGAAGCTGCAGTTACATGAAGTATTACAGATCATCATCTTGATACATCATCTTGAGTTTAAGCAAGAACATGTAATTTAAGGAATTCTTTGGCTGAAATTCCCCTAAGCCTTTACATATATATATTCTGCACCTGTCCCAGAACTACTGTAATGTCTGTGGAGCTCTAAAGGTTCATCTCCCTGTATCAAGGGGAGGAAAAATTCTACATTAACTCAGAGATGCCGTTTCTCTTAAGCTCTTGAGTTAAACTAGCCTCCAGTTTATTTAAAAAATAAGGCAATGTTGAGGTCCTTGGTATCACACATCAGAGACAAGCAGCAGATCATTCTTTCCTCCATTGTTCTGTAAAAATTATTGAGGTCCAGTAGAGCATTTCCTTGTGTTCTACTTGTGTATGTTCAATTTTGTAGCTGGCAAGGAAAATGTACCACAAACATACCAAAGGGTTCAGGTAACATATAACAATGAACGCTTGCATACTGATCGTAGTTTTAGCTATACACATGACTTTATTGCCTGAGTGTGTGAATCAGTCTGCAAAACCATTTACCGTTGTTCCATAGCAAGTTACCACTGAAGAAATACATTTTTTAAAAACTTGAGAGTGAACCTACAAGGAGATTACTTAGGAGATAGTTCATGTTTATCAAATCTAATTAGAAAACCTCTAAGGAAGAAATTCTACAATTTGTATTTACCTAGCTTCCCTATTATGAAATCTAAATTTATGTTGCTGTAATTTAATTCCATTGCATATTGCCCTACCTAAAAAGCAATTGGAGAAAAACTTTTGGTAGTTTTTTCTTTTTTGATTACAACAAAACTCACATTTAGCCTGTTATCCACTATAACTTCTAGATGTTTAATTTAAACAATTATTTAGATTGTATGCTGATACAAGGGATAACTTTAAGCTGATTTTCCTAAATGCAAAACATTGCCCTTTTCCTTGCTGGATGATTTCCTATACTTTTCCAGTTATTTCTTTAGTCTAAATTAGTGCTATTTTCAAACACAGTTGCAGCCCTTCATAAATTGGTGGCATCTAGATAACATTTCCTGAGATTAAAAGGTGTAAACGTCTGTACTAAAATCAAGAAATAGTGTATCTGTGCTATTTCCTCTATCCAGAAGGC